TTTTTAGTCCCGGTTGTTTATACCAACCGGGACTAAAGATAATTGGAGCCTGCACTCGACCTGACAACTTGTTGAACCGAGACTAAAAATAATCTTTAGTCCCGGTTCCTATTTGAACCGGGACTATTGTGGTTTTTGGGCGACCGACCAAATATGGTTTCTCCAGTAGTGGATCTATTTATTTATTTACCATTCAACAAACATATTTATGGGGTAAATTTATCATTCTTGTCTTGATAAGGTACATGAAGGTTTTATATATTTTTAAGTGTAAAATTTGGTACGTATGTATCTCTAGTTATATGATTATTTTCGCGGTATGGAAAATTTAGTTGTCTTTTGAGATACATTTTAAAGGATAGTAAAATTTCTCTCCTTTTCTTATTATATGCTAAAACTCTACTCGTTTATTGACTTATTGTCCATCATAGATTCTAAACTACTCAAATCGCAAAAGCTGGAGAAGAAGGAGGAAGGCTCGGAAAAAAAAAATATATATGGTCAAAACCTCGTGGTGCAATCGTACCAAACGTTTCCTCACATGCATACTGAACTTTGAAAAGTATGAAGGAATCCTCTCTCACAAGTCAATTAAACAACTGCGAACAAATTAATTATAAATGAGCTCGAATTGTGTTGTCTCTATAAATACTGAACGATGATGGCAAGCAGCAGGAGCTCATCATTCATCCCAATATCTATTGCATCTGCAAGAGCGATCGAGAGAGAAAAACAAGATCTATCTATAGCAGCTAGCTAGCTAGCACAAGAACGATATGCCGGTCTTCACTGCATCATTCCAGTGTGTCACCTTGTTTGGGCAGCCAGCATCGGCGGCCGACGCCCAGCCATTGCTGCAAGGGCAACGGCCGTTCCTACACCTTCACGCTCGCCGCCGTCGACCATGCGGTAATCCATCTCGATAGCACTATATATATCGCGCTATACATATATACGTATCATTAATTGCTGGGTTCTACAATTAATGTTCCGGTGAACTAAACTTTTCTATGGACGGAGGGAGTAATTAAGACGATAACGGAATGTCTAATAATTAAATGACAGTGCATGCTGTCTGTTTCTTTATGTAGGATTTTCATGTAGTCCTTTCGTTTAAAAATGCATGGTGCCGTTGACTTTTCACACAACGTTTGACTATTTGTCTTATTAAATTTTTTTATATAAATATCATTTATTTCTTTATGACTTGTTTTATTATCAAATAAAATATAATCTTAACTTATACATTTACATATTTATACTAAATTTTTGAATAAGATAAATAGTTAAACGTTATGTGAAAAGTTAACGGCGTCGTACATTTTTAAATGGAGGGAGTACTTGATAAACATTCTCACCTCACCTCACCTCCCATATATGCCTGATTTTCAGGGCCCATGCTAATAAGCAAATCACCGCCGTACCCGGCCTCGGAAGAAACACGCGAATGGGAAGCAGATGGACAACATGAACACACGGTACTGTATACACGTATAAGCTTCACACTACCACATGTTTCAAAATATAGTAACCTAAGACGGAGGATGTATTAAGCGGATATTGATCATTAATTGTGCATATGCAAATTTATGAACGAATTAATTGACACTGATAAACCCCTATCTCAAAGGATGAACTAAGAGAGACGACGACAACCATGATCGATGGCATCAGGACAGCACTGAGATCAATCGGAGAGGGAGAGATTAGCATCTCAGCCTATGACACTTCGTTGGTTGCCCTTCTGAAGAGGCTAGATGGGGGTGATGGTCCTCAGTTCCCATCAACCATCGACTGGATCGTTCAGAATCAGCTACCGGATGGTTCATGGGGTGATGCCTCCTTCTTCATGATGGGAGACCGGATCATGAGCACCCTCGCTTGTGTTGTAGCGTTGAAGTCATGGAACATCCACACCGATAAATGCGAGAGAGGTATGTGTATATCACTAGATTTCCTTTTCTCCATTGTCTCTTCTTGTGGACACAATCCTTGATGTTTCTTTTTGATGGACTGAACTTTTTGATTTTGTTTACTGGTTTGTTTTGATTTTCTTTAAAAAATAAATGTGTTTATTAAAATAATTTAAAAAAAATCAAAGTTTTACAAATTCACACCCCCTGACATCACTTAGTGTAGCGTTTTTTAAAAACACCCTCCTAAATAATATTTTTTATAACATGACACATGGTCATTGGGATATGTTAACGGTCGTCGTACGAAGGAGCTGACCATTTTTCAGGCAACACCCTTATGAAGGGGGCCACTTGTAAAATGGCAGCCTAGCATATTTTGTAAGCGACCTTCTTGTAACCCTCCCAAAATAGAGTTTCTCTATATAGGAAGTGGATTTTTTCCCTTGAGAGGATGTCCCCTTGTTTTGTGCATGGTATTTAAAAAATCATGAAAAATTTGAAAAAAAATATCAAGATAGATCAATATATGATACATCTTTACACAAACATACAAGTTGAAATATTACTTATACAATTTGAAAAAAAATAACAAATTTAACCACGAATTACATGTTTCATTCATAGTTAAATTTATTACTTTTGTTTCTAGTTGTATAAGTTAAATTAGAATATGTATGTTTGTGGAGTGACATATCACATATTGTTCAATCTTACTATTTTTTTTGAATTTTCTAATGACTTTTAAAGATGAAAAATAAGAAGACATCCCCTTAAGCAATTAATAGAGTTTCTCTATGTGTGTGCGTGTGTATATAATATATGTATACATATATTGCGCTATCAACATGTTTGTTTTTGGATTTACTATGCCAATAATTTGAGAGATGACAAGGATTTATTGTCGTAGGTTTGTTGTTTATCCAAGAAAATATGTGGAGGTTGGCCCATGAGGAAGAAGACTGGATGCTAGTTGGATTTGAGATTGCCTTGCCCTCGCTCCTAGACATGGCTAAGGACCTGGATCTTGACATCCCTTACGATGAGCCAGCCTTGAAAGCAATATATGCCGAGAGAGAAAGGAAGCTTGCCAAGTATGTATGCCTATATCTACTTATTAATTATTTTGTTTAGTAAAATTTTAGTCATGCCACACACGATAGAATATAAAGGATAAAATCCATCGTGAAAGCGCCCGCTTGCTTCTCTCTTCTCTGGTCTCTCTCACAAATAGCTACTCTCTCCGGGGTGATAATACTTATCTTTTTAGACAAGGACACGGTCTCTAAAAAGTAACTTTGACAACTATTTTCTATTATAATATATATATAGAAATATTAACAAATATATGATTTTATTAAAGTACTTTTTAAACTAATCTACACATATGGTCTTCATATTTTAAGATAAATATTTTAGAAATTATTTTTAATCAAAGATTTTAATGTTTGACTTTACCCTTGTTCAAAACGACTAATATTATCAGTCCGAAGTGAGTAGCAGATATGGACTTATTGCATATGCCCGAAACATGTAATATGTGGATCTATCGTATATTAGGGTTGCATTACTGTAAAACCATTCACAAATTATTCTCCTTTTTTGCTTTTCTTATACAGTTAAAATTATTGTGAGATTTAGAGTTATTTTTGCTCTAACATATCGCATTCTAACATCTTTTTACAATGAATGAATGTTTTGCATTCAAATTCTAGGATTCCAAGAGACGTGCTACACTCTATGCCAACAACTTTACTTCATAGCCTTGAGGGAATGGTTGACTTGGACTGGGAAAAGCTCCTCAAGCTCCGGTGTCTCGATGGGTCCTTCCATTGCTCCCCTGCTTCGACGGCTACTGCTTTCCAGCAAACAGGAGACCAGAAATGCTTTGAATACCTCGATGGAATCGTCAAAAAGTTCAATGGAGGAGGTAATTATTGAAGCCGATTTACCAAAATATTTTTTGTTGATTTACATGCACAAAATTTCAGAATTCCATAAAGTATATTAATTAATTTCTCCTTATATTAGCTAGTTTCTTCTTCCTTCCTCTCCCAGTACACTGACTCAATTCAACACTGTATCTGTATGCAATGAAACAGAAGCGCACTTCTGTATGAAACAGAACCCCTCCCCTCCGCACGGAAAACGGAACGATAGATTAACACGTGATTAAATAAGTATTAGTTATAAAAAACTTGAAAAATAAATTAATATGATTTTTTAAAGCAACTTTAATATATAAACTTTTTTGTAAAACGTGTACGTTTAACAGTTTGAAAAACGTGCATGCGGAAAACGAGAAAGATAGGCTGGAACCCATGAGAAAGAACGCACCAAGAGGCTAGGTTCAGTAGTTCGTTTAGCTTTTGCAATCTCCTTGTTTGTTTTCATTAGCACTACTCCCTAACTTGTAAATGGTACCTTTACTAACAACTTTTTATATACAACCTTTTCCAGAAAAATTAAATAAACTTACAATATTATTATGTTTAATAATTACAGCTTACTTATTCATTATGTTTTCCAGTTCCCTGTATCTACCCTTTGGATGTGTACGAACGCTTATGGGCCGTCGATAGGCTGACGAGGCTGGGCATATCAAGGCACTTCACAAGTGAAATTGAGGATTGCTTAGACTACATTTTCAGGTACTAATTAACTTTTAACATATCTGTACTAATTAACTTTATGCACGTAGGTACCCAAAGTGAATTAATTAATGTTTAGTTGACCATATATATATATAATATGGATATTAATTATACTGGAACAGGAACTGGACTCCAGATGGATTAGCTCACACAAAGAACTGCCCGGTAAAGGATATCGATGACACGGCCATGGGTTTCCGTCTCCTCCGACTTTACGGATACCAAGTCGACCCATGTAAATACTGTCCCTCGGTTTTATGCTATAAAATATTTTTCTTAATTAAATTGTTTAAAGTTTCACTAAGTAGAAAATTATTTTGCTAGAATTTTGGTACGTCATCCGTATTAGAGTCAGTTTTTAAGTTCGTTCGCTTTTGGAAATACAACATCGTGTTTGAGTTGGATTTTATTGTTTCCTTTTGGAAGTATAAAAGGAGTCGTACAATAAATCTTTTGAAAAAACACGCATGCTAACTTCAAATGAAATACAGACTCCTAATTGTAGCTCATAATTTTCTAAAAAAAATCCAATCGAATTCCCACGGTGAATTTTACCCTAACTAAACCATATAACAATAATAAAATTAAAATAGTATTTACCCGTTGCAACACACGGGTATTTTTTCTAGTACAATAAAAAACATTCAATGTTACATTTAATTAAACTAATTTGATGTTATAGATGTTGCTAAATTTTATATAAAATTAAGGTTTAACTAGGAAAAAATCATAGAGACTTACTGTAATATCAAAATATAAACACATGTCCTCGGAAGAAAAGATAAACACATGGAGTAGTTTACTAACCGTTGCTAATTAATGTCTAATAATTAAGATATCCAACAAATTAACATTACTACTCCCTCTGTTTCAAATAAATTACTTACCAATCTAGCAATTCTCACACAAACCAACAATATGTAGAAGATTGTATTACATGGTTTACCTTCATTAAATACATGACAACGATAAGTATTTTGATATAAAATTTAAATTCTAGAATGATAAGTAATATAAAATGGAGAGAGTATTTACTTTAATAATTGAACCTAGCTAATGTGCTCAAACAATAATGCCATGCAGGTGTGTTGAAGAAGTTCGAAAAGGATGGCAAGTTCTTCTGCTTGCACGGGGAGTCCAACCCATCCTCTGTCACCCCAATGTACAACACTTACCGGGCCTCCCAGCTCAAATTTCCTGGCGATGACGGTGTCCTTGGGCGAGCTGAGGTGTTTTGCCGCTCATTCCTCCAAGACAGGAGAGGCTCAAACAGAATGAAGGACAAGTGGGCCATCGCCAAGGATATCCCAGGCGAGGTATGTTAAGTCCTACTACTCCCTATGCCAAAAAAAAAAAAAAAAGAGCTTTTCAGGATGAATCTGAACATGCATTTGTTCAGACAATCGAAAATCAATGCAATTTTATTAAAGTATATATGAATGGGATGTGATAATACTCCATTCCTATTGAAAATGCAAGTTTTTGATGCTAAGCTACCAACTAATTCATTGCGTCTTCTACTTCAATATACTCCTACTCCCTCCGTCCAAAACAAAAACCTTTCAGGATGAATGATATGCATTTGTCTAGACTGGAACAGAGAGAGTGCCTAGCTAGCAATGGAAAATTAATGCAAATTTATTAAAGTATATATGGATGGAATGTGATAATACTTCAATTCCTATTGAAAATGCAAGTTTTTGATGCTAAGCTACCAACTAATTCATTGCGTCTTCTACTTCAATATACTCCTACTCCCTCCGTCCAAAACAAAAACCTTTCAGGATGAATGATATGCATTTGTCTAGACTGGAACAGAGAGAGTGCCTAGCTAGCAATGGAAAATTAATGCAAATTTATTAAAGTATATATGGATGGAATGTGATAATACTTCAATTCCTATTGAAAATGCAAGTTTTTTTATGCCAAGCTACCAACTAATTTATTCCGTCTTCTACTTCAATATATATTTATTAGGTTGAGTATGCTATGGACTACCCATGGAAAGCAAGTTTACCGCGTATTGAAACAAGGTTGTACTTGGATCAATATGGAGGTAGTGGCGATGTATGGATTGGGAAGGTCCTGCACAGGTAATTAACCGTAGCTTCAGATGTATTATATACGTATTTTGTCCATTCGTTAATGATATAGAATTAGCTGCAGCAAAACAAATAGTCCCTTCTTGTTCTAAGTCTGAATTTTTCAGGATGACTCTTTTCTGCAACGACCTGTACCTCAAGGCAGCTAAAGCTGACTTCAGTAATTTCCAGAAAGAATGCCGAGTTGAGTTGAATGGCCTTAGAAGGTAAGTCCTATTAATTCCGAATTTGAGCCAATAACTCTTTGACAAATACCATATATCTATACTAATTTAATACAGTATAAAATAGTGGTGGTGGTGAGTCCATTGATCTCAGCACCTAGTCGCCTAAACTGATATGTAGGACTAGCTTGAAAGGCATTTTCACATTGAAATATCTTATACCTCTAACCTCTCCCTTTAATGGTCTAAAAACATTGTTTGAAAAGTAAAAACAAAATAAATATAGAGCACCTAATTAATTTTAAAAATAAGTTCTAAATTGTTCTCTTTTCTGCAATGGATCAATGATATATTTTTTTAATCCCGTAAACAATGTATGCGTATTTTGCTAGTATTTTTTAAGACAATTGAAGATGAGAAATGCTGCACATCTCCATCCTCTGTATGGTAGCATACCACATATATGATTAATTTCTTACTCAAAATTATTTACACTTTATATGCAGGTGGTACTTGAGGAGTAATCTGGAGAAGTTTGGAGGGACTGATCCACAGACTACACTGATGACATCCTACTTCTTAGCTTCAGCCAACATCTTCGAGGCAAACCGAGCAGCGGAACGTCTTGGATGGGCTCGCGTAGCGTTGCTTGCCGATGCCGTCTCCTCTCACTTCAGGAGAATCGGGTATATATGTTTAACCGCTATATTGGACGCGTGACTTCACTCACCAAATCGATCACTCGGTTTTGCTTTAGTGATCGATCGATCAATGGATGCAACATGAGCTTACCTGCATGCTGCTTTGCAGGGGACCAAAAAATTCGACCAGCAATCTTGAAGAGCTTATCAGCCTTGTTCCTTTTGACGACGCTTATTCTGGCAGTCTTCGTGAAGCTGTAAATTAATTTATCAAATCAAAACCGTGTTAAAACTTCAAATGGAAACATAAATATGTGCCAAATCTTTATAAATTTCGTTTTGTAAACTGCAGTGGAAGCAGTGGTTGATGGCATGGACTGCAAAGGAGAGCAGCCAGGAGTCAATTGAAGGGGACACGGCAATATTGTTGGTTCGTGCCATCGAGATTTTTGGAGGACGGCATGTTTTGACCGGGCAAAGACCGGACCTTTGGGAGTATTCCCAGCTCGAGCAGCTCACCTCCTCCATCTGCTGCAAACTTTCCAGGAGGGTTCTTGCCCAGGTAAATATTTATATGTTAACCTGAATTTTTATATACACACAAAACACTGTCCTTTTAATCAAGTTGTACATACAAATACACACAAATACAGTAAAACATGCATAGTGTTTGTTATAACTAAAATACATCCCTTATGTAGTAAAATTTTTACCGCAAGTTATATCGTTGTAAAATATCTTATAGTAAAAAACTTTTACTAATCGATACTTTATAGTACAATTTTTACTAGCTCAATATGCCATTTGATGATTATAGTCCCCGCTGTAAAAATTTCACTACCTTGGCTTTTGTTAGCTATGGCACATCCTGGCTATGGTATAGTACTTCTACAATACACAAACATATATAATTGTTAATTTGCAACGATGAAAATATTTAACTTTGATTCAGGAGAATGGGGAAAGTACGGAGAAAGTTGAGGAGATAGACCAGCAAGTGGATTTGGAGATGCAGGAATTGACTCGGCGCGTTCTACAGGGCTGCAGCGCTATTAACAGACTAACCCGGGAGACGTTTCTCCATGTGGTGAAGAGCTTCTGCTATGTCGCCTACTGCTCACCTGAGACAATTGATAGCCACATCGACAAGGTCATATTCCAAGATGTGATTTAGGAACAAATTACCCCGACTCATCTACACTCCTTATAAAAGAGAGTAGTGGTGGTGTTGGTTCTGCCACCCCCACCTCCACTACCAATTCCCGACCTTTATAGAATAAAGATGTGTCTTTTGTATTAAGTTTGTTGTGGTGTACCTCGTGTTTTTCCTGAGACGGGGTTTAATTTCGTGGCGTTTCTGAAAGGTAATTTCTGTGTATGATACTGAACGCCAACGATAAGCCTCTGGGGTCTACTCTATTCCTGACTCAATTCATCCTACTCCTCTTGAGCTAGAGTCGGCTATTCCTGACGCTCTAGCGACTAATGATGGAAATGGAACGGTGTGTGGCTAGGAATCTACACAAATTAATGGATTTAAATTTCGGGATTTTCAACACTTTTTGGACCGATGTTTCTTGAATTTTAGCATAATTTAACTGAATTTGACTAAATTTTGACCAAATTTGCAAAATTTTGAGAAAAAAAAAAGGAAAATTGTGGCGGAGATAATCACGTCCTTGGAGGTGGGGGTTGGTCCAAAATTACCCAAATTTCAAAAATTTCAAACCGAAATTGCATTATCTGCACAAATTAACAATTCAATATATAGATCCAACATCTCAATAGACATTAAATACTCAGAAAAAGAGACACTTAGTCCTCACAAATAAGAAAATAGCAACAGAAAGAGTACCTGGCTTGGCTTCATCTCCGCTCCCATAGGTATCTCAACTAATAAGTGTAAGAAAGGTCTTCTAACTCTATCTTCTCGAGTGAAAAGCTTTACTTCAACGATGATGTTATGTTAATAGCAAGGTGAGTATATGTAACGCCCCGATTTTCGTTCGGGATTAAAAATCATTAAATAATGCATTTTCTAGAAATTAAATAAAAGTTAAATCAATTTAATCAAGTGAAATAATGGGAGAATTAAAATTTTCCCTTAAAAATCATTGGCCGGGAATATTTTGTAATATTCTTTGTGTCCTAAAATACTCTCCGGAATTTTCCGTAAATTTTCGGAGCTCAAGAAGTAATTTTAATGGCACAAAGTTCATCGAATCAATTAAATAAAAAAAGAAAACAAAAACTCCCCTTCCTCCTTGGGCCATTTTCGGCCCAAGAATCCTTCCCCTCCCGCGGCCCGCGCCCTCTCTCTCCCTCTCTCGGCCGGCCTCCCTCCCCATCTCTTGGGCCGTCGGCCCGTTTCCCCTCTCCCTCGTGAAGTCTGTTTTACGTCCCCCATCCAGCTCTCCCTCCCTCTCTCCCCGACAGGTGGGACCCGTGGACCCCACCTGTCATCCCCTTCCTCCAGCTCCAACTGCCGCCATGGCCGCCCGAGCCGCCCCACGACGCCGCCGTTTCCGCCCACCTCCTCCACCCCGCGCGCGCGCGCTCGTCCGTGGGACCTCGCCGCCCACGTCCGCGCCGTTTCCCCCCCTCTCCCCGCAAAATCCGGCCACGTCGCCGCCTCCCGCGTCTCTCTCTCCCCCACGACGCCGCCCCACTTCCCCCTCGAAATCCGCCGCTCCCCGGCCCTCTCCTCGCCCCCTTGAGCTATAAAAACAATCCCCGGCCTCCCCTCCTCCGTTTCCCCCATTTTCCCCAAGCCGCCGCGCCCTCCCTCGCTCTCCCCGCGCCGAGCCCACGCACCGCCGCTCGCCGGCGATCTCCAGCCGCCCGCCACCGCCGCTCCCGTCGCTGCCGCGCTGCACCGCCGCCACCTATAGCATCACAGCGCCTCGCCGCACCCCGGCATCCACTCCATCTCCCTCCTCCACCGCCGGAACCACCTCCCCACCGCGCTCCCTCTCTCCACCACTCACCGACGAGCTCCAGCCGCTGCTCCTCGCCGCTCCAGCCACTGCCAAGCCGCGCCCTGCCACCGTCGGCTTCGCTGCATCGCGTGGTACCCCGGCCGCTCTTCCACCTTCGTTGGAGACCGCCGAATCACCGCCGTCGTCTTCGCCCCGTGGGATGCTGCCGCCTCCCTCTGCTCGAGCCCCATCAGCTGCCTCCTTCGCCGCCATGCCCCTCGGTGAGCTCCGCCGCCTCCCTCTTCGCCTCCTCCGCTCGTTTTCGCCGCTCCCCGGTCGCCCCCTCGCTCGTCGGGCCGACGCCGCCATCACCATTGTCGTCGTCGTCCTTCCCGCGTCGGTGAGCATCTCCCTCCTCCTCCCCTCCCTTTCTTTTTCTCTCTTTGCCCGCCGGCCGCCGCATGCGTGTCGCCGTCGCGCCGCGCCGCGTCGCCGCCTGTGTCGCCGCCGGTGGTCATCCGGCCGCGCGCCGCCGTCTGGTCGGGTTGGTCGGCGAGCCAACCCTCCCCTCCGCCTTGCACCTCTACCGTGGACTCGGTCCACGGTGGGCTAGATCCCTTGTGCCCGCTGACGCGTGGGGCCCGCTCTTTTGGTGGACCCGGTCCAAGCCCTCCCCCTTTGACTCGCTGACGTGTGGGCCCGCCTGTCGGCGCCGGCGCCCCTTGCTGACGTCAGCGAATAACATTTCCTTTGAGAAAATAATTAATAATTGCGCAATAATTCGATAATAATTATAGAAATTCATTAAAATGGCTCAAAACCTTCTAAAATTCATATCTAATTCATTCGAACTCCGAATTGAGCCATTCAACTTGCAAAATTCATCTAAAATTGAGCTCTACATGTTTGTTTACTTTTTATGTACTGTTTTCTTGGTGTTTATTAGAGTTTTTCCTCATTTTGCGTGCCAGCGTGTAGTTTCCGTCGTTTCGGAAGTCCGCGGTCGCGAGGAAAAGAGTTCGGAAGATCAAAGTGAAGAAGCAAGGCAAGTCGCACATTCCCCTTGAGCATGTTGATCCCAATTTATAAATGTTTTACCGTTTACAAATAAATATGCATGTTTTGCTAATTACATGGGATCTGGGTATTACCTATCTGCTCGCTTGTGCCATGTTTACTTGATATCTGTTCTTTGTCAACCTTGGGTAATACTTTGACTAGCTCGTGTTACTTATGTGACCTAGCTAGAACTATATGCTTAGCCATGCTTAATTACCACTAGCTCAGTCGATGGGATAATTGCAGTATTAGACATTCTAGTATCTTGTTGAGCCGCGTGCTCGAGACATCTGGCCAGGTTTCATGGTCGTAATTATCCAACTAAAATGCGACTGAATGGTGGGCTGTGGGTGCATGGTTTTGTGAGTCGCACCCATGGCAATTAAGGACCGGTTCACGGGAAACCCTGGAAGACTTACAGCGCTTGCCACAAGCGGGAATGGGTAACTGCTTGATCTGAAGTATAGCTCGACCCTTTCCTAGGCACCGGTGGCGAGGGTGGGCGTGATGGAGTTGGGTCGGCCGGGGTGTCCGGTTGTCCAGCTGCCGGATTCACCGCGGCGCAAGAGGGGACCGCCCACTGCCTTTTGAGGGGTGGGGGTGAAACCTTAGCGTGGTGTGGATGGTTAGGGGAGGGTTATGCGGAGGGTCTCGTCACAATCACTCGACATGGTGACGTGTGCATCATGGGCACATGATGACGCGGTGACATGTCGGTGGGTTGTGTCTTGTGGGTACAGTTGTGCACCTCTGATCAGAGTAAAACTATTCGAATAGCCGTGCCCGTGGTTATGGGCGATCGACCAGATTCACCGTGATTAGTCTCACACTTAATAAATCGACCCAATGCACTGTAGTACAGGTGGGTTGGTTGGGCCTGTTCAACGTGGTGTAGCGTTGATCAGTGGAGATTTTAATGTTACTTTAATTACTCAACAGTTTTACTGTTTGCTAAATAAAATGTTTTACAACCGCCTTTATGCAAATAGCCACAAACCCCTCCTTGTATCCCTTTTGCACGTCTGCATCATTGGTGTGGCTTGCTGAGTACGGTGGTTGTACTCAGCCTTGCTATTATTCCCCCTTTTCAGAAGTGTAGTGCTTCTGAGCTGAAGATGGAGTTAGAGGACCAAGGCTCAGACCCCAGTTGAGTTTTGCCTGTGGAGTGGAGCTGAAGCCCCGCTAGGATCGCCTTTTTCCGCTGCTGCTGCTTTTGTTTCGGTGTGAGGACTAAGTGCCTCATCTGTAAGTATTTTACGCTTTAGTCACGTTTGGAACTGTTTATTACTTGTCGTTTTGTGTACCCTGGCTGGTCCTGGACAGGGATTTAATACACAAAATAGTCTGGAAATTTGGGCTAAATTTCTGGGCGTGACAGTATATATGATAGCATCTGATAAAACCTATGTGATCAAGACATGATAATCATAGGACTTCATGCCAATCAGCTTCAGATCGTCATCAAAACAAACTTACTAATCCTTGATGAGTAGCCCGAAGGAACTTTAATGCCCTTCAAGCATGCTATCATATCATTCTTCTCTTCCTCCAATAAAGTGTGGTAAGCTAGAGAAAGGTATACTCTGCCAGTTCGAACTTATTGGTGCTAGTTTACTCTGATTTATCATATCTTGTAAATCTCGGTGTGAATTTAGTCCGTTCTTCGCCATTCGAAGGATATTTAGTAGTAACCTAGTCACACTATCACAAGCGTTATTCTGTACATGCATTAAATCAATACAATGACGGTCCTCGAGATACTTTCAGTATGGCAGCCATTAGAATATAGACTTTATCTTCCACATACTCTTCTCATTTGTCTCTCCAAGATCTATGAATGATGGCTACAGAAGAAAGGGAAAGTTTCAGTGGAAGCTAAGGATTTTGAGTGTCTGAAGGATGGAGATGAAGAGGCCAATGAACAATTGAAGTGAACTTGAAATGAATGTCACTACTGAAATATAAAGGCTGGAGTGACGGTTCACGTTTTGAGGAATGTGGTGCGATATTCCCGGTGAAACAGTAGTGTGGTATTATGAAATTTGATCTATCCAAATTTGAAATCCGACTACGTTCTAGTATTTGGCTCGGATTAAAGAACCAAGTAGTTTACCTTAACCTAAGCGCATGTTTTCCGATTACGATTTATTTGATGAAATGGCTTCTTGGGTAAGGACAGCAACAATAATATTGGATATATATTTACATTGAGGTCATCGCTATTGTCAATGTTATAAATAAGGGATACCCCATATACCTACACTAATCATCATCGCCAAGAATACCACACACTTATATACGGAAATATATCCCTAAATCTCTACTATTATAAAAATTAAAGATGTTTTTCTGGTACTTTGGTACATCATCCGTGTATAAGTCGGTTTTTAAGTTCGTTGCTTTGGGAAATACAAAAGGAGTCATATAAAAAATCTCTTTAAAAAATCTCGCATGCTAACTTCAGACGATCGGACTCCTGACTGCAACTCATGATTTTCTAAACAAATATATATCCACGCGAATTCTCACAATGAATTTCACCTTAACTAAACCGTATAACAATAATAAGATTAAAATAACCTTCACCCGTTACAACATACGGGTATTTTTCTAGTATATATAAAAAGTAAAAATAATAGAGAGTCATGTTTGGCTAGGAAAGACGGTATAGTCTGATTTAGGGACGATAGGGTCTTGTGTACATGTATTCTAATTGAAAAACATGCGATTAGGTTAAGGTAAACTACTTAAAACAAATTCACAGTGAGTTTACGCCAGGAGGAAGCCCTTCAGGTTGCCGCCAAATACAACCAGCCAACACGTCAAGAGTAGTTCCGTAGGCTAGATTAGCAAGCTTGTTTCCCGCTTTGTAGTTGGTGTAACAAACCCCAAATCAATACACATAAACTGGAGTTGGGCTGCTACCCACCTCTGGGACCTGGACCAGTAGAAACATCCTTATCCTTTGCTTGCGTATACTTTGGTACCAGCTTTATCTTACGTCCCTCAAATACCATAGTCGGATATGACCCGTCTACTAATGGTTTTACCAATAAATATTCTATCAGGATCTATTTTTTTTACATAAAATTGAATTTATTAGATTTATGTTCAAAAATATTTACTTATGATTGTGCTTTTCTATCATATAAATGATGTACTAATAGAGCAACTGTTGGTTAAAACCAGATCCTAACGGATGAAATACTTCTTATATTTTGAATTTGAGGGAGAACTGAGAAGTACATGCTATTGTTCCTAAATCCTATCATACAATAAAGTTGATGCACACTAACTTCTAAATATTAACATGCAAGTGTGCCACATCATTACCCAGTAGCAATTATTATCTAGAGTATTTTAAAACACATGCATGTGTACCACATCATCACTCACTAACAATTATTATCTAGAGTATTTTAAATATCATGCAAATATGACATATCATTTACAGTTTTGTTGTATTTTTAGAACTCAATGTGCAATCAGAGTAAAATCATTATCTCCATATCATTTTCACATTATTTAAACTTGTACATCTATCATTTATATCATATATAAAATGCATTCATCCACACATCCCACGGCAAAGCACGGGGTATCAACTAGTATTATTAATTTGTTTGTCCATTTCCCCAGGACAAACAAAACTTATTAAGAGGTATGCAAGCACGTAAGCGAACCGCAAGTACACCGACACACAGTCACACACATCCATCAACTTTGCATGGAAATCGGCTTATATGGTGATGCCACTAGCTGGAGATGATTCTTTCTCCTCGCCGTTGCACCAACGACGAGCTCCATGTCGATATCACCTGGCTGCATCCCATCCGGGAGGCTCCAGTCGAAGTAGTATAGAAGGCGCGCCACGATGAGTTCCAGCGTGGCCATTGCAAATATATCACCAGGGCACCTCCTTCTCCCGGTCCCAAATGGCAAGTACTCAAAACGGGAGCCTTTGAAGTCCGCTGTGCCATCCTCAAACCTCTCTGGTATGAACTTCTCCGCATCGTCCCAATACTCGGGGCTCCTCGCCATCGCCCACGAATTGATCAACACTCTGGTGCCCTCCACAATCTCATACCCTCCGATTTCGCAGGTCTCCCGACATAAATGGGGGAGTAGCAGCGGCAACACCGGATTCAGCCTCAGGGTCTCCTTGATCACCAACTTCATGTATGATAGGTTTTCAAGCAGGCCCTCGTGGTCTTGTGGGCTCTTGTTGTCGAATACTCCTCGCACCTCAGCCTGCACCTTGGCCATCACCTCTGGGTTCCTCATCAACTCCGACATGAGCCACTCGGTGGTAGATGATGTCGTCTCTGTCCCTCCCGTGAACATATCCTGAATGAAACCAACTACATGAGCAAGAATGAAGATTGAAGAAACATATACTCCCTCCGTCCCAAAATATAAGCATTTTTAGACGCTGACACGGTCTTTGAGATACTACTTTGACCAATAATTTTTATAAAAGTAAGATGTTTTAAATAAAAAGAGTTGCATGTTATAATATTTTGTTTAGTGATAAATCTAGTAACACGATTGGTCTTTTTTATTTTTTTGCTATTAATAGTCAAAGTTATAAATGCTTGACTTGTCACTATTCTAAAAATGCTTATATTTTATGATGGAGGGAGTATATATTTTTCAGCAGTAAATAAATGAAATTATTACCAGTATAATTGCCTTGACGTGTGTTGAGCTAAAGGGGAAGTCAAGCTCGCCCTGGTCCTTGATCCTGAGCAGGACGTTGACAAGGGAATCACCCGGATTCGACTCGCACTGAGCGACGATCTTGTCGAAGACGGTGTCCAGCTGCAAGCGCAGTCGCTCCAGGCGGCTCCTCAGCCCGGTCATGGCGTCGATGAACCGCAGCGACGGGAAGAGGTCGCCGAAGCAGAACCCATTGCTGAACTTGAGCGCTTCGTCCAGAGCCGTCAAGAACTGCTCCTGGAGCTCGCCGCCGCACGCCTGCCCGAACGCCGCCTTCGCGGTGAACGTGTTCGTGCACGAGATGAGCAGCGTGGCGAGGGTGAACGGCTTCTTGCCGCCGGCGGCGGCCTCGATGTTCCTGACAAGGGCCAGCGTCTCGCCGTCCCTGATCGGCGCGAGCTGCCGCACCATCTTGGTGCTGAGGAGCTCCACCGTGCAGAGCTTGCGCAGCATCCGCCAGTAGGCGCCGTAGGGCGCGAAGCCGATGTCGAGGTTGCCGTAGCAGAAGATCTCCGAGACGAGGAGGCTCGGCCGCGACGCGAAGGTGACGTCCTTGTCGCGGAGCACCTCCTGCGCCGCCGCCGGCGAGGAGATCACGACGGTGTCCACCTGCCCCGTCCGCAGGAACATCACCGGGCCGTACTTGCCGGCGAGGTCGCGGAGTGCGACCTGCGGTTGCGACCGGAGGAGGTGGAGGAGGCCGCCGACCAAGGGGAGGTTCCATGGCCCCGGAGGCCGTCTCTTCTTTGACGACGACTTGCGGGTCAGCAACGCGAGAAGAATGGGCAGGGTGACGACGGAGACGAGGGTGACGGTGGCTTCTGAGTTTATCTCCATCATCGATCGATAGATAGAGGATGTATATATGGCTTGATGATTGATTAGGTTTAATTACTTGGCAGTTTAGCTTGACGAAGAACAGCAAGAACTGAAGGGCCTTTTATAAGCTTTTGCCCAATGCCATGATTAATTAAATTCGAAGTTCATATACGGTCGTTAGCGCAAATTTCCAGGCATGTGATTTGACCTGGACGTAGAACGTGATATATGGTCAGAGGAACTGCTAGTGATCACGACTACTGGGGATGGTCGATGCTCAGTTGCAGCGACTCATCGATCTAAGATTAAGATAAAACTAGAGCTCAGCTAAACAGTTTTAACTTCATCTAAATTAAGAGCGAAGTTAGGTGTAACACTCTCACAAAATAAGCTAGAGAGGTTGAACTAGAACTAGTAGACGGCTTCACAGCTTCACTTTAAACCCAACTTTTGAAACTACATTGAGTTGAAGCTCTACTGAAGATTCCCTTAACCAAGGGGGGAATGAGGAATGAGGGGGTCGATTTAGTGCCAAACTGCCAACGACGCATAGGATCGTTGGATCTACCGGTGCACCTCGTCGCCACAGGTGAATTAATTGCACTAACTGAACTAAAAAAAGTCAGATCCTAGCACTATTGTCAGTTGTTTTGGCTACTAGCTTTTCAGACTGCTTGACCATACGTTTCTTTCACAAATTTTATGTATAGAAGTTTTTTCTTTAGAAAATCAAATAAAACCATTTTGCAGACTGTCCCATGCAAGTATATCTCCAAGAGAATAACAGGGTTGGGCAGTACAGCTACAAGAGAAGAACATGGCTGGGCAGAGCTATATATTAGGAATGACCAAGCCAATATTGAAACACATGAATAGATAAATCACAATATTGAAATCTCGTGGCATGTTGAATCCTATAGAAAATAGATGAGTAAATTTCACAAAGCTACAAATACTATAACAAAACTACATATTTAACTCGGTGTATCACAAAACTACAGATTTAACGTTGAGTTTATCACAAAACTCAACATTTAAAATGGGGTATCACAAAAGTACACATTCAGTAACAAAATTATCATATAACTACTGGTTTATAAACAATTTAGTTACAAAACTATAATCTTAATAGTTACAAAACTACAGTGTTAATAGCTCCAACATAATAATTGTGCTAGAATTTCAAACTCTAAAATCTATAATTTTGTGATAACTTCAATATCAAATATATGGTTTATTATACTTGGCTTTAAATATGTTAATGTTTTGTGATAAATTTAGTGCTAAATCTATAGTTTTGTGATATACATTTTAAATATGTAGTTTTGTGATTTTTTGATTAAAATACCTGTAGTTTGTGCAATTTTCTCAAAACAGAATTGCATGTATAATTGCTCCATACATATCATTGTGAGCTTTATGAAATTTACTCAAAATAGAATTGCTTGTATAATTGCTCCAATCGTGTCTTTGGATATTTCACAGGAAATGTATAGGAATTTTGAGATTATGAACTCAGATGGAGTATGGCTGTGTTATTCCCCCTTCTTTCCCAACTCACCTATGTTTTTTTTTCCATGCACACGTTTTTCAAATTTCTAAACGGTGTGTCTTTTGCAAAAGTTTTTTTAGAGGAAAGTTACTTTAAAAATCATATAAGAATTCATTTTTAAGTTTTTTTTACTAATACTCCATCCGTTTCATAATGTAAAACTTTCTAGCATTGCTCATATTCATATAAATGTTAACGAATCTAGACATATGTGTGTCTAGATTCACTAACATCTATATGAATGTGGGCAATGCTAGAAAGACTTACATTGTGAAACGGAGAAAGTACTTAATTAATCACGCGTTAATGGACAACACTGTTTTCCGTACACCTCCCGATCGCAGCTTAAGAGAAGAGAGAGAAAGGGAGGTGTTGCTTTGTAATTCTCATTAAAAAATAACATGACGTTGGAGGGTATATGTTTAAGATTCTTTGGAATTAGGCCACACGAATGAATTTCAAACGAATTTTGTAAGCCCAAATATAATCCTACAAACCAAACAACCTCCATAGGAAAAAGTCCCAAGGATCCAAATTCGTCATTTTTCATTTGAAAATCCTCCCATCCAGAGGGGCAATTCCCAGATGCCACTAGCACTGTCCAGTATATATATATGTTGTTCATCGTCCCGGGCGTGACAGCGTGAGATCCGCTTGTGTACCCAACACTCCTATACTTTGATGGTCAGTCTCCTCGCCCTTGGCTTGTGCAAGAGAATCACAAATTCACAAAGGCGAGCGTGCGTGCGGGGGAGAAGAGAGGGAGAGAAAAGGATAAGTTTACTGTGCACATATATCTCAAAGCAGATTCGACGGTCGAATTCAAATGATGTGGGGTATTTATTGTGTAACACAAGTTGTGTAGTAGGACTGTAGGAAGTGGCTTGTAAAAATGCTACCGACTTGGCCACCATCTCCTCGCCTACATCATCTGTCTTAGATATATATTATCTATTAAAAATTAGAGAAAATCCTATAAATAGTAAGAAAATATTCGCTAAGCTGCCATATGGTGTTCTAAAAAAAAATTAGAGAAAATCCTATAAATTCTAACAAAAAAATAAAACATCTGTCTCTTGATTGCTGCGTAAAGTGATGGGTCCAGAACTATAAACCGTTAGAATCTGTTGATCTTAAACCAATCTAAATACTAGTCCCACATCTCCTCCTGTGGCAGCATAGGTAGTCACGCTTTCATCCCCTTCCTTTTTTCCCATATATACAACTATCATCGGTGATATATAAAAGTTTTAAATTATGATGATATATAAAAGTTTTAAATAATCATAATTTTACAAACAAAGATTATAACATCGTATAACTCTTTGTAAATAGAGGTAACTAAATTAGCTCTATAATGTTTGGAAATAAAATTACACCACTATATTTTTACCCATTAAACTAATAATATAAGATGATTTTCAGTTTTCCTGTTAAACCGGTGGACTCATTACTTTGAATTATTATTTTAAATAATGCACCATTTTAAAGTAAAGTTTGCACTATTATATCATTATATTATTTAACCATTAAATTAACAATTTAAGATCTACATAACTAATTTACATTTACACTTAAACTAATGGACCCATTATTTAAACTATCATATCTATGTTTTCATTAATAAACAAAGCCTTCGAAGTTCCTTCTCTAGCCTGCTACACAACACATGTCTACAACTCTACCTTCCACACGAGCGACGAAGTGTCGTATCTAAGGCAGTTAAGGTGATCACGATAGCTGCAACACTACCACTTTGCCACATACCAAATAAAATATGGATAACGATTAGTTTTGTTAGTAACTTGGAACCAAATTAAAGGTGTGATGCAGAAAGAGAAGAAGTAACCATCGTGGGTTATGTTTTTCTAACACTTGGCTCCGTTTAAGCTGAAACAAAGAGCATACGGGTTATAATGTATTGTATGAGGTCGTATTTAGATTTCATCCATACAGCCCAAAGAAATTACTATTTCTCCATGCAGGCGAAAGAAATTATTATATTATAAATGTGAGCATAATATTAACCAATATCAATACACTTCTTCCTAAGACAAGAGTGTTATAAGCGAATTTAAGGCTCTTTTTTTCCCTGATTCCGTATTTTGGATTTTCATTTGCATGGTTCCCAAGTTCCTAAATGGTGGCATGATGTGGCTCTTGTGCAAAGAGTTTTTCTTTGAGTATGAATAGTGACAAAGATAGAAGTAAGAATGAGAATATGAATATGTAGCAAAAAACAAATTAGGTGAACCAATGTTTTTTAAGTAGTCATGGTTTGTTTTGCGAAGTTTGATTAACTCTGAAGATGTAAATCATATTGAACTTATTGATCATAATTTACAACAAAATGGTATTCTTGGTGTCGGTGATATGGGACCGGGAGTATCGTGACCAGAGGCTTGAGGCAGACACAATCGCCCACGTGGCCTGGCACCTTCGGGGACGACGGGCCCGAGGGTGAGGTGTCCGCCCTCCTCCTGATTTCCCCGAGGGGGGGGGGGTCGGGTGACTCCTGCCCCGGCCCCGAGGGCCGAGGCGCCCCGACCCCTTGTGGAGTTAGCGCCACATGAATGGGTTGGGTGAACATGGTAAGCCTCACTTAACTACATTTATTGCGGTCTGGTCGAACGTGTCACGCTGCATGCAGCGTAGTGCAGTGCGTTCCTTTATCCGGTCCGTGACCAGTCACAGACCGGTCAGATCACGGGTTAGGTGGCGACTGGCGGTCTGACGCACGCCTTGCCCCTTCTGGTCGGAGGTTGCCCTCACTTTCGACCAGACCGACCACCCACCGTGCGTCGCCCGGGGAGGGCAGATTGCGATGGTGGTTTCCCCCACCATCTGCAACGTGAAGTTGGGGCGTGTCCTCATAGATGGGGGAGCGGCCCTCAACATCATTTCCCCCGCGGCTTTTGATGCCATCAAGGCCCCGGGGATGGTGCTCCAGCCGTCCCAACCGATTATCGGTGTGACGCCGGGGCACACATGGCCGTTGGGTCACATCGACCTACCGGTCACCTTTGGTGGATCAGCCAACTTCCGCACGGAGCGGGTGAACTTCGATGTGGCGGACCTCAGTCTGCCCTACAACGCGGTCCTGGGGAGGCCCGCGTTGGTGAAGTTCATGGCGGCTATCCACTACGCCTACCTCCAGATGAAGATGTCGGGCCCCGGTGGCCCCATCTCTGTCCATGGCGACCTGAAAGTCGCGCTCGCTTGCATGGAGCAGCGCGCGGACCACCTCGCTGCTGCGTCCAAGCCCGAGGGTGGTGACGAGAGGCTTGGCACCTCCGCCCCCACCGCCCCGGGGCAGCGGATTGTCACATGCGCCGAGGTCCCGGTCAAGGAGGTTGCCCTGGGCGACGGCCCATCCAAGACCACACGGATCGGTGGTCTTCTGGATGGCAAATAGGAAGACGCGCTCGTCTCCTTCCTGCGGGCAAACGCTGACGTCTTCGCATGGAGACCGGCGGATATGCCCGGGGTCCCCAGGGAGGTGATTGAGCACCGTCTCGCCGTGCGGCCGGGCGCAAGGCCGGTCCGGCAGAA